ATATCTACTGAATTACCCACTTGTTCAATAAGAATAATTTTCTCTTGGAATACAACAAGCAAAGAATGCGCAAACCAAAAATAAGCTTCTTGGTTTGGATTTTCTAGAAATGTTTTAAAAAGTCTTGAGGTTTTTCCTGTGACAAAAAATATTCTTTTGGAGCAGTAAATAATTTGACAAGCCTACTCACAGTGCTGACAAAGTGACACACTACAACAAACCAGAGATTTTTTTTCTGTTTTATGAGAAAGAAACCTACCAAAATTTAAAGCGTTCTACCATCCTACCAACGAGAAAAAAAACCTACCAGTTTAGGTAAAGTCCAAAACGGCAACCCTGTGTACGTGTATGAACAGAGGTGTGAAGCATAGCCACAAAAAAATACCAAATTCCTCAAAAACAAATGAAAAATCCTCAAAATGCTAACATATTACTAAAAATTTTCATATTTACTATTTACAGGTACTTAGCATAAAAATGAATTACATTCTCCAATTCAATTGGTACATTTGTTCTTGCGGTTCAAACAAAGTATCACTGTTCTTTTTTATGCCTTGGTTTGTATATAATATTTCTGCAACTATATCAGTGTTCAATCTGGTCCTCAAGTCAGTCCTACATTTTTAAACTACTAATATATGTTCTACTGAAACATTAGAAAAGGGCTATATTAGTAATGTAGATATAATTTTTTTAATTGGGAAACTTATATGAACCTGAAGAATCTTTTAATCCAAAAACTTTTTTCCTATAATTTTCTTGATCTAATGAAAAATCAGTATTAATATCCGTATGATCGAACAATTCGTTATCGAGATTTTGCCGGTTCAAAATAAGTTGAAAATATAACGATGGAATGAAAAAAATTATCGAGAACATTTTGAGTATTTAGCAACAAATGCAGATGTGCTTAAGAGCGAAAAACACCACACACGCGGCTTGACAAACCAAGCGAAATATCCCTTTGCTTAAAGCTGTTTATGTTGTGTATGGGGGTTTTTGAAGGTTTGACAAAACATTTGAGGAAAATGTTAACAAAAATCCACCATGTTGACCTTTGATCCAACCGCTTACGTTGTGTATGATAAAATCGCCTCATTCGCCACGGAATTTTTACCGAATGAGGACGCCAGAGAGAAAAATCGAAGAAAACCAAACCCTTTTACATTGTGAACCGGAAGAAAACTAAAATTTTTTGCTTGAAGGAGTCACGTTTGCTTGGTGTACGGCGAAATGGGAAAAGTAGGTTTGAAGAATGTTTGACAAGCCACTTGTGTGGTGTATTTCGCTCTTTATAAAACTTCGGAAAGTTGTTTGTTCAAAAATTTGCAGAGCGGCGTAACAACTCTCTTGTGTAAAACATGGTTGCATTTGTTATCTGTCTATCGAGAGAAAATTCCTCAAAATAAAAATCATCCAAAAATACTCTCACACTCACAAAGTGGCAACACTGGTGTGAAGAGTTCTTGCCGCAAGATACCGTTAACAGTTTCGCGCATACTGATGTGAAGTTGACAACCTTCCACGCATTCGTAAAAAAATGTTGAACTGTCCGGTTGTGTTTTTTTTTTGCTCGAATATGAATAGAGAATAAATTGAAGTCATTTTAGAAAAGTGAAGTTAATATTATTTTGAGAATTCGTAAAGAGAGTTTTTTAGTGCGGTTGTTTGTTTTTTATGGGCCAATATGAATAAAGCGGAAATTTAATCCATTTTAGAAAACTCTGACATGGATTATGAAATACCCAACGAGAGCGTCAGTGAGGATAAAGAAGATGAGATTTCCGAACTTGGATCTATTTATGACGACAATTTATCTGAATGCACAGATGGAGAAGAGGAACTTTCTGCCCGTCAGTAAGATGTTTTTTGAGTTTTTCTTTCAGGTCGATCCGTGTTTGGTCATAACTGGGTCAAAGTAGATATCATTACTTTGGAAGCATATTTTGGTCTTTGCTCTTAGCTGGTGTATTTCGATCACATGGCGAAGCATTCGAATGTTTGTGGGATGATTGCAAAGGCCGTCCGATT